TATTTATGGCCTCTGGGCATAGAACTCAGGTCCTCAAGCACTTTATTGACTGACCCTCTCCAGACTATAACAACTCAGCTATTATTTCAGAATTCCACAAGGCATCTGTCCTGTTGGCCGATCCTGGCATTCATTAACACCGGTCTCTTCAGATCATCTTTTTCTCTTTGGAGGATTTACCACTGAAAAACAGCCGCTAAGTGAGTTCTTTAAATACATAATTATGTATCATTATTAATGTTTTCTACATATAATAGCTGAAATTCAGTCTTTGTGTGTGTGTATCGAGATGGGGTCTTACACTGCAGTCTTTGCTATGTAGTCCACACTATACCTTGTAGGGTTGGTTTATAAATTTTGATCCTAAACATATTCTAATGTAATTTTATATTACATATTATGATCTAAGCCCATTCTGCCTGTAATTTTTTTAAAAAAAAGGTCTGGAGCTCTTAAAAGCCCTGCTGAAGGGCTATAATATGCACGGGCTTACTTCCTTAACTGCAGAGAATAGGAAATAGGATCTAACTTACTACTTTTCTTGCTCAAGCTGTGCCCTCTAAATGTCATACTGACAGAATAAAACATATTTTATAGCTTTTTTTCTTTTGTTTAACTAGGTGATGCCTGGACTTACTGCATCAGTAAAAATGAATGGATACAGTTTAATCATCCTTATACTGAAAAACCAAGGTATGAACTACTTAACAAGTATAATTTCTCATAGTTAATTAAGAGGTCTATGAATATGCAAGACAGGTGAGAATTGAAGGTGTTTTAGCTGCGTTTTATCTACCGCTTAGGAAAAGTCTTGGTATCATTAAGGTTTAACCATTATACTTCTCAAAAAGAAAACCAGCATTACCGAGTAGACTTTCTTTCCCACCATCTATATTTGAATATGACTAGATTTGTACTTTTGCTTCTTCTATTATAAAGTTAAGCTTATGTTGAATATTAAAATGTCATTAAAAGCAAAACCTCAAGAGAAAAACTTGAAAAGGGAGAATGTACATGGAACAGAAAGAACTGTCTATTGGCTTGTATTCAAGAAAGTATAAGTAAAATTGTCTTTTATAAAAAACCTATTATTTAAATTTTTTATTTATTTCATGTGTAATGAGTGTATTCCTTGTATGTAAGCACACCCATGTCGTGCAATGCCCAAAGAGATCAGACGATGGCATCCAGTACCCTGGAACTGAAGATACAGTTGTTAGTCACCATGTGGGTGCTGGGAATCAAACCAGTGTCCTCTGCAAGAGCAGTCAGTGATCTTAACCACTGAGTTATCTCTCTAGCCCTGTATTTTATTATTTTTTTAAAATCTTATGAGTGTGTATTGCCTGCATGCAAGTGCACTCATATCATGCAATGCCTGCAGAGGTCAGAAGAGGGCATTAGATCCCCCCTTGAACTGGAGTTATGAACAGTTAGCTACCATGTGCATGCTGGGAACTGAACCTGGGTCCTCTGCACCATCTCTCCAGCCCTAAGCCTCTAGTTTTTTTCTTTTTGAGACAGGGTCTCAGGTGGCCTAGAACTAACTATATAGACCAGACTGGCCTCAAACTCACAAAGATCTGCCTGCTTCTGCCTCCTGAGTGCTTGGATTAAAGGCATGTACCAGCATGCCCACCTTAAGCCTTCAGTTTTTAAAATATTTTTTTATGTGTATGGGTGTATAGCCTGCGTGTAGGTAAGTGCACCAGTAACGTGCAGTGCCTGCGGAGGTTCGAAGAGGCTGTCAGATTCCCTGGAACTGGAGTTACAGATAGTTGTTAGCTGCCATGTGGGTGCTGGGATTCGAACCTGGGTCTTCTGCAAGAACCTCCAGTGTTCTTAACCACTGAGCCATCTCTCCAGCCCGAGAGCCTCCAGTTTTTAATCCAAGCCTCTAGCCCAAGTACAGTCATGCCACTGAGACATCTGACAGGAATTTTGAGACTAATAATTTTCTAAAGCAGGTCTTTCTGCATCTTCCATATATCCTGTGAAGCCAACTTCATACATATCACTGAGCCCCCTTGAGATTTTTGTTAACAAAGACCTAGAGAGCAAACTTTTTATAGTTGAAACTCCTCACAAGATAAACATGAACTAGACCAGAGAGATAAATATGTAGGATACCATTTTTTTCTTTAAAGCTGCTTTTCCTTAATATTTTATTTCTTACCGTATTTGATATGAACTCAGTCTGTATCACCAGCTCAGTAGTACAGTTCAAATGATCAGTTTGATGTTTGGGTTACTTGGAACTCAAGCTTTTGTTTTAAATGCAGATTATGGCATACAGCTTGCGCCAGTGATGAAGGAGAAGTAATTGTTTTTGGTGGGTGTGCAAATAATTTGCTGGTCCATCACAGAGCTGTAAGTAGACCTTCACTGCTATTGAAACATATGAAGCACTTTTTTAAAAATTCCATTTGTGTCTCCACATACAAAGAGGAAAACTTCTGGGAGTTTTTTTTTTTTTTTCCTTTTCACCACGTGGGTCTTGGGGATTGAACTCAGATCTTCAGGCTTGGTAGCAAGAACCTTTATGCACTGAGCCATCTCAGTACCCTTTTTTATTTTTGTATTGCTTAGGAATAAACACAAGGTCTTGTGCATGCTAGACAAGCATTCTGCCACCGGGCTATTACTAGCTCCCAGCCTAGCACTTTTTTGTTTTTGAACAGGGTCTTAATACATAGCCCTGGTTTGCCTCTACTTTGTCACAGTCTTTCTTCCTCTGCTTCCCAAGTGCTGGGATTACAGGAGTGTACTACCCCAGCCTGGCTTTAGCACTTAATTTTAATGTGTTTTTGGTCTCTCTTTCAGGCACACAGTAATGAGATACTTATATTTTCAGTTCAACCAAAATCTCTTGTACGGTAAGTAACTTTTAACATGGCACTTAACACTTTAAATGAGTGCTATTTAAAAAAAAAGTATGTGGATTAAAGGCAATAATTATTTTTAAACAGTAAAGTAAAATTATTAGAAATACATTTTTTTCTCTTGTCCATTTTCAGGTTAAGCTTAGAAGCAGTCATTTGCTTTAAAGAAATGTTAGCCACCTCCTGGAGCTGCCTTCCAAAACATTTACTTCACAGTGTTAATCAGAGGTTCGGTAGTAACAATACTTCTGGATCTTAAGGCTTTGTAGATGGTACCTTGGATCTACTTGCATGGACAGCAATCCTGTAAACGTCAGAGTGGCATCATTTGTATAATTATGCACTGTTGTAGTTTGCAGCTTTTTGGGTTTCATGTGCATGTGAATGGACTAGAGAACCTATTTTTGTGTCCAAAGTTTACAATAAATGTATTTAACACCACTAACTGGCCTTTGTTAAAGTAAAAAAATTAATATGTTGGCTTTTTAACACCATGAATGGTTATCACATTTTAAACACATTTGTTTGGGTTTTGACACTGAGTTTCCTGTACCCTCAGCTGGCCTGGAACTCACTATGTAGACTAAACTGTCCTCAATCTGCCTACCTTTGCCTCCTGCCTGAGTGCTGGGGATTAAAGGTTTATACCACCATCCTCAGCTAATCTTTTTTTTTTTTTTTTTATAATTAACTTGGGTATATCTGTAGAAACAGGAGGAAAAAAAAAATCTTTAGCCTTTTGAGACAGGGTCTCAGGGTTTGTCTTGAATTAGTTGATCCTCCTGCCTCTGCCTCCCAAGTGCTAGGATTTAAAGGTGTGTACGACCACACCTGATTGGGGTTTTTGGGGGTCCTGGGAAGGGAACCTTGCCCAGCCTTCACTTAAACTCATGGCAATCGTGCCTTAGCTTCCTGATAGCTGTCATGTATCACCACACCTGGTTTAGTTTTTCATTTACTATGAAGAGTAATATGGGGCTGGAGAGAATCTGCTGCTCTTGTAGAGGACCTGGGTTAGGTTCCTAGCTTCCACATGGCAGCCAACAACCATCCAAAATGTTTTAGGAATCTTTTTAGTGATGAACCTAAAAGTATACTTCTGGTATTATACTTTAAGCTACTCTAACATAGGGGCTGGAGAGATGGCTCAGCAGTTAAGAGTATTGGCTGTTCTTGCAGAAGACCTGGGTTTGAATCCCAGCACCCACATGAAGGCTAACAACCATCTGTATCTCCAGTTCCAGGGGATCCTGACGCCCTCTTCTGTCCTCCTCAGACACTGCATGACACAGTGCACTTGGATACATACAATATATACACATTAAATTAAAAAAAAAAAACAAAAAAAACTCAAGCCTGGTCTACACAGTGAATTCCAGGACAGCTGGGGCTACAGAGAAACCCTGTTTCAAAAAGAAAAAAAAAAAAAAAGATACTCTTAACATGCTCTTGAATGCTATAAAGGTGGAAAAGAAAATGGCACACAACTGAACGACATTACCAGGAAGGAATGAAGATGAAAAGTCAATGTTTGATCACATGAGAACACCCAACACCAGTTTTCTTCTAGTGTTATTTCTCAAGTGGAGTCATAATTTTTTTACATCTGGTCTAATATATTTGATATTTTCAAGACACAAATCCTAAATGTTTTAATTGTCCCCGCAACAAGAAAAACCCCTGTGATTGGCCTGTAATGTCTATGTATTAATGTTACACACAGTAGACCTCCAAGTCAGTAGTTTTAAGCAGCTGAGCCACTTCACATTCTTTACACCATGAAATGTGCACTTAGTATTGACTCAAGAATTTCAGTAAAATGTATAATAATTACAGATGTATAGCTTTAGCATTTGAACTTGACAAATATTTTAGGAAATCCTATTATAGTGTTCTATATAAAACTGGAAAAAAGAATTAAGTCCTTTTGCGAATATAGCAAGGCAATATGTACTTCATTTTAAAATATGGAAGTCCTGTTAACATGGTGTTTGCATCTTTGAACCTCCACAAGGCTATAAAATTCACTCTTCTCAGTATTTTAGGACTTCTTCTCAGCTATTTCCTTTTTACATTCAGAAGATTAGGTGCCGACACTTTCACTTTGCCAGGAATGTTTCTTGATAAATCTGTGTCCTACAAAAAGAAAACTGCTGAATTATTTTCATATCCTACTGTCAGAAGAAAGACATTTTTGAAATTTGTGAGATGCTAATACTTATTTACTGTTCCTAGTAAGACAGCATTTTCTATCAAAACAATAGAAAATAGCCCCTAATATCTGTTACTAGATCTCTAGTCTCTGGAGTTTTAAAAGAAAACTTTACCTTCACGCTGCGGAATAAGTCTTTTTCTCTTGCTGTTGCTTCTTTGGAATGCATGAAACTATTCAAGGCTGTTTTTGCAGCTGTAAGTAGAGAGCAAAAAATGTACTTCTGTTTTGGTCACTAAACGGTTTAAAAAAAAAAAAAAAAAAAAATCACAAAAAATCCTAAATACCTTTTCCCTTTTTCTGAACTCCAGGAGTAAGTTTCACTTTATATCTTTAAAAAAGATAATATATGAGTTAGTTTATAGAGATCAAAAGCAATTCGTAACATCACTGTGTCATCTATTTTGAGTAAATTAATAGTGACTTACTTATAGCTTGTCATGGTGGTATAAGGGGCACATATTGGAATGGCAAACATTAGTACATCTTCAGGATGTGGCTGGCCTGTCAAAGAATCAAACAGATTTTCCTAAAAGGAAAATAAAGACAATTTAAGTAATTTGTGCCAAACTTATAAAAAGGAAAACAGGCTGAGGGTATAGTAGTTTAGTGGTAAAACCTTGCCTAGCATGCTCAAAATCCAGCATCATAGAAACAAAGGTAAAAAACTCATACTTTCAATATGTTCTTTAAAAATTTTGGCCTCACATAGTAACAAAAAACAAACTCATTTTTTTAAATTTTATTTTATGTGTATGTGTGTATTGCCTGCATGTAGGTAAGTGCACTCATGTCATGCAATGCTGTGGAGATCAGATGAGGGCTTCGGATTCCCCTGGAACTGGAGTTAAGGACAGTTCGTAGCTGTCATGTGGGTGCTGGGAATTGAACCCGGGTCCTTTGCAAGAGCAGTCAGTGCTCTTAACCACTGAGCCATCTCTCCAGCCCCCAGACCAATGATTCTTAACCAGGGATTTTGTTCAACCCCCGCCACTCCCTGGACACTAGGCAATGTCTGGAAACTGAGGGGACTGGCATCATGGCCATTTGAGTCTTGGCTTCACTTCACTCAATCTTAGGTAGTCTTGCTCTTCCTTGAGTCTATTTTTCAATTTCATTTAGTAGGTAGAGAGGTCAAGGATATTGCTAATCAATTTGTATGAGATAGACCTGGCAACAAAGGATTATATTTTAATAGTGCCAAAGTTGAGAAACTCTAGAACATTTTCTCTTAAATACAGGGTCTCCTTATAGCCCTAGCTGGCTTTAGGCTTATACAGACCAGGCTTTCCTAGATCTCAGAGATCTCCCTACCTCCCAGAGTGCTGGGATTAAAGGCATGTGCCACTTCTAGCCCCTGTTACTTTTTTCAAAGATTAAAAAAAGTTGATGCGTGTGTGTGTGTGTGTGTGTGTGTGGCTGTATGTGTGTGCAGTTGCCCATAGAGACCAGAAGGCATCAGATCCCTTGGAGCTGGCGTTACAGGTGGGTGTGCAATGCTCAATGTGAGTGCTGCAAACTAAACTTGTGCACTCTGGAAGAGCAGCAGGTACTCTTAACCCCTGAGCCATCTCTCCAGCTTCTCTCACCTCATAAAGAAAAATCTCAGGGCTTCTTAAACTAGCTCTTATTTGGTAGGCTACACTGAAAGGATGAAATGCTTGGTACCGAACTGTAGTCAATACGTGAGTGTGCCATAAACTTATAAGTAACATTTTCCCCAAACTGTTCTGGTAGGAGCTGTTATTATCATCGTAATAATGAGGGCACTGAAGTGCACAGACTGACGGAAGGGGAGGGATGAATATTTCCAGGTGTGCAGTTATCTCTAACATAGTTAGGAACTTAAACCCAGAAAGTCACCTGCATAGCCTACAGTTTTGTCTTTGCTTTTTAAAGTTCTGAGTAATATAAAATATTCTGGGAAAGGATTACAATGAGAATGTAGTAGAAACCCCAACTCAAAATCATACCTCATTTCCCTGTTGATCCAGATCTTGCTCTTCCTGTCCCAAACATAAAAATTAAAGTCAGCCATGAAATTCTATACCATTAAGCCACGAGGAGAAAGAAACTGATATAATAAAGCTGTCATATGTAACCCACAAGTTAGGAGCCCCAATGTTGTATTCTTCAATTTTGTGAAACTCTAAAGTGTATTGGTATATATACTTAATATTTTAGGAAACAGTGCCATTTGAAAAAGACAGCTTTCACTGCACAACTTTTTCACTTTAAGGATATGCTAAACACTGAAAAATGCAGGCACAATTTAAAGTACAACTAAGCTCATTAGGTTTGCAAAAAGAAAAACAGACAAGTCATCAATTTCTTTTCAATAATTTAAGATAAACTCTTGAAATACTCTTAATTTTGTGTATATTACATAAAAAAAATGGAGACAATCCAGTCTTCAGTCTGTTCAGCCTGCTGTTAACAAGAGACCTTTGGCTGCCCAATTTTTAAGTAACAGGTTTACATCTAATAGGTCTGCAGGCTGAGAAACTCAAGATCAGGGCACCAGCAGCTTCGATATCTGATAAAGACTTGCCGGGTGTGGTGGTGCACGCCTTTAATCCCAGCACTCAGGAGGCAGAAGCAGGTGGATCTCTGAATTCAAGGCCAGAACAGTCTACAGTGAGCTCCAGGTCAGATTGGGCAACAGGGAGACTCTGTCTCGAAAAAAAGAAGAAAAAAAAAAAAAAGAAAGAAAATTGTGGTAGCGTCTGCCCACAGTACCAACACTTAGGAGGTGGAGGCAGGAGAATGATCCTCAGCTACATAGCAAGTTCAAGACCATCTCAGAAAACAAACAGCAACGATGACAACTGGCACTTTGTTGCTATGCTCACACACAGCGGAAGAGAGGCCTCCTTCAACTCTTATAAGGGATCTAGTTTCACTCCTAAATCTTACTTCTTAATATTATCACATTTAGGTTTCAACATTCAGACCATATCCCTCACCCTTAATAGAGTCATTAATAGCTCTTAGAATTTTTACCCCCTCCATGACATGGTCTTGCTACATATAGATTGGCCTAAAACTTGAAGTCCATCTGTGTCAGTCTGCCAAAAGTGCTAGGATTATGGGCATGTACACCCACATCTGGCTTTTTTTTTTTTTCAGTCTATAGTTTATACAAAAAAACCCTACAGAATATGGCAATAGTATAAAAACTTGAGAATCAAAATGAGTTTTAAAACTATTAACACTGTTCAGTAGACAAAACAAAACAAAAAACCGAAAAAGGTGTCTTAGTGGCTTGGAGCTTGCCAAGGAGGCTCTGCTACCTGGCCAGCAAACCTTAGGAATCTACTTGTTTCCAGCTCCCCAGTGCTGGGATCACAAAAGAATGCACCAAAACATTTTCATGTGGGTTCTGGGGACAGAACTCTGGGCCTCTTGCAAGCACTTTACAAATAGCTAGCTCTGAGTCCCAGGTCCTGGTCACCCCCAGTAAGAAGCAAAAATGCACGTACGGGGAGATTTATTTACCTTGTCATCATGTGGCTCATCTACAGCTAAATCTTGTAATTCGTGAGTTACCACGTGAAGAGATGGAGTTTCTTTCTTAATGCTGTCTGAAACCCTTTGTCCACCTCTGGGTTTCTGGGGCTGTTTCTTCATAGGTTCATCCTTCACCTTTCCTTTCTTTCCCTTCTTCCCTTTTTCTTCTTTGTTTGAACCTGCAGACTTTTAATTCATAGAGAAAAATTCGATTTTCAGCAATTTTCATATTATGAAAATAAAAATATTTTATGTGTGTGAGTTCTGCCTGCATGTATTATGTGTACTTGTGTCATGCAATGCCTGAGAAGGCCAGAAGAGGGCATTTGAGCCCCTGGAACTGGAGTTAAGGGACAGTTGTTAGCTACCATGGGGGTGCTGGGAACTGAACTCTGGACCTCTGCAAGAGCAGCCAGTCAGTGCTCTTAACTGCTGAGTCATCTCTCCAGCTGCAAGATTTTGGTTTTTTTTTTTTTTGGTCTTTTTGAGACAGGGTCTCCCCTGTAGCCCCAGCTATCCTGGAACTTACTATGTAGAACAGGCTGGCCTTGAACTCACAGAGATCCACCTGCCTCTGCCTCCCGAGTGCTGGGATTAAAGGTGTGCGCCACCACGCCCAGCCAGGATTTTGTTTTTTTAAGAATATAATTTGGGGGCTGGAAAGATGGCTCAGCTGTTAAAAGCACTAGTCACTCTTGCAGATGATCTGGGTTTGATTCCCAGCACCCACATGGCAGCTTACAACTATCTGTAATTCCAGTTCCAGGGGATCTGCCACCCTCTTCTGACCTCTGCAGGCTCTACACGCAAGTGGAGCACTAACATACATGCATGGAAAACACCCATACACATAAAATAATAAATATTTTTCAAAAGGATATACTTTTATTGTTTTAATGTTTTGAATTAAGCTTCTTAACAATTATTTTGTATGTATGTGTGTGGGTGTATACATGCCACAGAACACATGTGAAATTCATAAGTAGTTTTCTCTTTCTACCATGTGGGTTCTTGGGAGTGGGTTTTAGTCACCAGGCTTGGGCACCAAGTGCTGAGCCATCTCTCTAGCCCAAATACTGGTAAGAGTCCAACAACAAAAAATGTACTGAACATTTGTCATAGGCTAGGCATGGGCTTGATGACACTGAAAAGGAGGGAAATGGTTTTAGATCTTCTTACCCCCAGCAATTTCATAATTAGTTCACGATCTTCTTCATCCTGGTCTTTGTATTTTTCTTTCATTTTTTTCATTTTACTCTGAAATCAGAAGATTTGGAAAAATTCAGTAAAGAATATCAAAAAAAAAATTAAGATCCTGCTTTAGTTCTATCAAATAGCTTATTGAACACAGCACAATTTTAGTTCACAAAATGGAGATGTGTATGCCACAGTCCTTGTTGTCAAGGAATGTGCCATATGGTAAAGGGATGACACAAATGAGAAATTGGCAACTTACTTTAAAACTGAAAAGTGACTTCAGAAGTCTAACAGGGCTGGAGAGAAGGCTCAGAGGTTAAGAGCACTGGCTGCTCTTGCAAATGACCTGGGTTTGGTTCCCACCACCCACGTGGCAGCTAACAACTGTCTATAACTCCAGTTCCAGGGAATACATTGCCCTTTTCTGACATCTGTGGGTACTGCACGACATGGATGCACTTAAGACACATGCAGGCAATACACTCATACACATAAAATAAAAAATAAGATTTTTTTTTAAGAAAAATGTAATAGCAAGACAGTGTATTTGGGATTATGGTACATGCAGGAATAACAGGAAATTAAGCAGCAGATCTAGGTTATGCATTTATTGTAGAGATTCTTAAAACAATGTTAACTAAACCATTAATTTTTTTTGCCCAGTGCTGGAGATGGAACCCATGGCCTGAACGTATTAAGCAGGCCAGTGAGCTACAGCCCCAGCCCAGAGCTAATTTCTAAAGACACACTGTTATAGCTGCAATCTCTTTTTTATAGTGCTACAACATTTTAAAAAAGTATAATTGGGCTGGAGAGATGGTTTAGTAGTAAAGAGTACTGGTTGACCTTGTAGATGACCCAGGTTTAGTTCCCAGCACCCACATGGACCAACTGTCCGTAACTCCAGTTCCAGGGGATCGGACACCCTCTTCTGACCTCTGGACATTGCATGACACCAGTTACATTTCCATACATGCAGGCAAAGCAGTCATACACATAAAAAATAAAAAAAAAAAAAGTTAAGTATAATTTATATTTACTCTAGCCAAAATCACATGATAATTGAAAAAGAAACTACTAAACTAAGTTTTAGTATTACAATCAGCTCTGAAGCTGGGGATATCAGTAATCAGTGCAGCACCTGCCTAGCACACATGAGGCCCTGGGTTGATACCCAGCACGGCAAAGGAAAGAAACATCAGCTTTGCCACTTATTAGCAGGGCAACTCTGACAAATCAATGTCCCTTTCCTCTTTTACATGAAATGACAGCCACTATGGATACAATTTTAGAGGTCTAAGGAACACATATTGTCAGCCTCCCCTTGGCCCAAACTCCGCTGCTAACCAGAAGACTGTTATGCACTGGCCCCGTCATGGAAAGTTGGGGTGAGAGACTGATGGGGTGAGAGGAACCTCAGGTTGCAGCAAGTACGGCAGGAAAAAACATTCAGAAGGCTGTGTCAGTGGACGGCTCGTTTATTATGGTGGAAGAAAAGGTTTATATAGGAAAGTTTCGTGGGCAAAGAGGTGGGGTTGGTTTTCTGGTGGGCAAGGAGGGAGGGGGGCTTCTAAGGCTACGTGGCCTTTGTCCTGTCCTCCGGTCACATGATCTACAAGAGATCCAGTTAGGATTAAGGGATTAGAGACCTAACAGTTTTGCTTGGGGGTTGTTGGGTAAGAGACAGTGTATCTAGAATGGAGTGGGCCAGTTTCCTGCCATCCTTGCCAGGAGGTCTCCAGCCTGGCCATGCTCTACATTCCAGGCACTCCTGATTTATCCCAACAACATAACAGCTAGTTTTTAGTCAAAAATTAAAAAACAATTTGCACAGTCTTTTTCATTTTAAAAATTACAAAAGAGAAACCTCACAGCTTCATTTGTAAATTCTATTAATGGCTAACATATCATCCAAAATAATATTACCTTTTGTCCTCTTTTCATTGGTTGCCCTGCTGCAACATTTTTGCTTGTGTTCTGGTAAATTTCAGTGTGCACAGCACTCTCTTTTTCTTTTTCCTTTCCTTCTATCGCTTCTAAATCCCCTGAGTCAGTTGGAAACTTCTTCTTTTTCATTTCTCTAAATATAAAACAAATGGAAATATCAAAAAAATTTTTTTGGTCTTTGAGACAGGATCTCCCTGTAGCCCCAGCTGGCCTGGAACTCACTATGTAGACCAGGCTGGCCTTGAATTTACAGAGTTCTGCCTCCCAAGTGCTGGGATTAAAGGTGTGGAAATACCAAATTTTAAGAATGACAACTTCAGTCAGGTGTGGTGATACATACCTTTGATACCAGCAGGTGGACCTCTGTGAGATCTAGGTCAGCCTGGGCTATGCAACAAGTTCCAGGGCACCCAGGGCTACATAGTGAGAACCTATCTTGAAAAAAATAAACAAAAAAACAAAATAAAAAAAATCTAATTCTTAGTGCCCTAAAAAAAATTATAAAGGGAAAAGGGAACACGATGTATAATAAATAAAAGATGACAGCCTCTCCTTAACTTGACAGTTACCAGACCACAGTATACAAAGAGTCTCATTCACAGGAAGACCTGAAAATTTTTCATGGCTTTTTCATTTTTTCCATCATCTGGACTCATTTGGCTTATCCTTACTCAATTAGGCATATTCATTTACTCAACTGACAACCTTGTAGTCTTCTTATCAGCATGACCTTGCCAGATTTTAGGCATGCAATAAAACATCTGTTGATTGGTTGGTGGAATAATTAGGTAGATCCAAAATACAAGCAGATTAAGGAAGAAGGGGGCTCTTCTGCTGAGCCAGTAACTTTCTACTCCCAATGCCATTCCCTTGTCCAGGTCCTCACTGCCTCCCAGACTTCCTTAGGCTATTCCCCACAGTCTGCCCTCCCAGAATTTCTATGTTAATCTTCCCTAATTGTTTACCTATCATATTCCCATTAAAAATTTCCAAAGTTTCTCTTAGCATCACTAGTAAAGTTCAAAATCCTTAGTCTACATTCTCTACTTTTGATCTAAATTCACCTTCTAATCTAATCTACCAATTCACAAACTTTCCCTTCCTTTCACTCCAGACTATCCAAAGTATCATATATCCTCTCCTTTGTTAATGCAAATTCTCCTTGGAGTCTCTCTATCCACACACCTAACTGCTGAGGTACCTAAGGTACTCTTTTGTGTGTGACAGTGTGCGTGCCTATGTGTACACATATGGAGAAGGAAGTTATGTGTCTTGCTCTATCACTTTCTGACTAATCCCCTTGAGCCAGGGTCTTTTACTGAACCTGGAGCTTGCCCTATCCAGTGTCCATCCCTGGAACCCCCATTCCCCTCCAGGTTGGCTACTAATAAGCCTCAGGGATCCTCCTGTCTCCTCCTCTAGCACTGGAATTACAAGCATACTCAGGGCCTTATGTTTGCATAGCAAGCACTTTACTGACTTGAGCCATCTCCCCAGTCCCAAGGCTTTTGTTTTCCATAAAATTTTTCCTAATTTCAAGAATTCCTAATTTGCTGGGTATGGTGGCACCTGCCTTTAATCCTAGCACTCAGCAGGCAGAGACAGGTGGATCTCTATGAGGTCCCAGCCAGCCTGGTCTACATAATGAGTTCCAGGCCAGTTGGGGCTGCAGGGAGACCCTGTCTCAACATCAAAAAAAAAAAAAAAAAAAAAAAAAATCCTATTTTCTCCTTTAATATCCCAAGAATCAAAGAGGGACAACAAAAAGGGCAAGAGTAGTAGGAGGGAAAGGAGATAAGATTCAAGCACAGTATGGGCATATATGGGAATACCACAGTGAAATTCTATTCTGTACAACTAATGTAAATGAAACATTGTAATTAAAAAAAGTAATACTGGTCCTTTAATACAATCACATGCTATATATCCATAATGTATTATAATCACTGAACATGTTGCATAATAAAAGTCTTTTTATTACTTGATCTATTCCATTTAGAGTTTACCTTCTTTCCTTGGCTGACAAATGTCTCCGGCTCTGTAACTTATTGTCACTCTATTAAAAAAAAAGGACAAAAAGAAGGAATCACAATGAACCACTATTATTATTTTTTCAAAAATTAAATTTAAAACTTCATTGGAAAAAACCAATTTTTAATATAATTTCAAAAGTAGCTTACTGAATTAGAAGATTCTTTTGAAGCCAATTTCTGGAGAGGCCTATGAAAACAAAAGAATTTACTAGCCTATGAAAGACATTCAGTTACAAAGCCTCAAAACAACCCCCTATCCTTATTACTTATAATCCTACAAATCTTCAAGCTTGGCAAAATTAGAAAAAAAAAAATATATATATATATAAAATCAAATTATTTCTTCACACTTTTACATGTATTCTTAAAAATGTAAGATGTTGAGCTGGAGAGATGAGATAGCTCAGCAGTTAAGAACACTGGCTGTTGATGCAGAGGACCCAGGTTCAATTCCTAGCACCCACATGGTGGTTAAAAACTGTCCCTTAACTCCAGTTCTAGAAGATGCAATGCCCTGGTCTGACTTCCTTGTGCCCTGCATGACTCACACACATAAAATAAAAATAACAAAATATATTTTAAAAATATCTTATTTTTATTTTATGTGTTTGAGTGTACTGTCTGCATGTATGTATGTGAGTGCACCCGTGCAGTGCAGTGCAATGCTGTGGAGGTCAGAAAAGAGCTTTGGATTCCCCTAGAACTGGAGTTAAGGATGGTTCGTAGCCGCCATGTCAGTGCTGGGAATTGAACCTGGGTCCTCTGCAAGAGCAGTCAGTGCTCTTAACTGCTGAGCCATCTCTCTAGCCCCATAATAAAATATTTTAAAAAAATGTAACATCTGAGTAGTTAGGAGGCAGAGGAAGGTGGGTTTCTATGTCTTCAAGGCCAGCCTGGTCTACATGACAAGTTTCAGGCCAGTTGGGGCTGCAGGTCTCAAAAAGACCAAAACCCCAAAACAACAACAACAACAACCCAAAAAGTAACATGATAAATCTCTCTCCTCCATCTCCTTTGTCCTCCCTTACTCAAACCCCCTCCCCTTTCTCCTCCCCCCTCCTCCTTCTGAGACAGGGTCTCATGTAGCCCAGATTGGTCTTAAACTTGCTATGTAGATGAGGAAGACCTTGAACATCAGATCTTCTTGCCTATTCCAGGTGTGCACCACCACATCAGTTCTTGTGCCGAAATCTTAGTATCTGCCAGGTATGAAGACACTTAACACTCATACAATCTTCACCAAAACCTTATGATGGGGATTCTACTCCATTTTCTCCAGGATGGAAACTGAGACTTACCTATAGAGTAGGAGCTTGCCCAAGGACATGTCTGAAGATTTGGTTTTGATGCATCTGACTTCTAAACCATTTTTTAAAAGGTGTCCTATAACCTGTTGAAGATGAGTGTCTCTAGACCTTTAATTTTTTAAAAAAACTTTTTTTTTTTCCTGTCTTTTTTGAGACAGGGTCTTCTTGTAGCCCCATCTGTCCTGGAACTCACTATGTAGACCAGGCTGGCCTCGATCTCACAAAGATCCGCCTGCCTCTGCCTCCCAAGTGCTGGGATTAAAGGTGTGCACCACCACGCCTGGCACATTTTATTTTTATTTTATGAGTGTATTGCCTACATGTATGTAAGTGCACCCATGTCATGCATTGCCCAAAACGGTCAGAAGAGGGCATTGGATCTCCTGGAACTGGAGTTCCAGATGGTTGTTAGCTGCCATGTGGGTGTTGGGAACTGAACTCAGGTCTTCTGCAAGAGCAGTCAGTACTCTTAACTGCTGAGCTATCTCTCTAGCCCCTTCTAAGCCAATTTTTTTTTGGTCTTTTTGAGACAGGGTCTCCCTGTAGGCCCAGCTGTCCTGAAACTATGTAGACCAGGCTGGCCTTGAACTCACAGAGATCCGCCTGCCTCTGCCTCCTGAGTGCTGGGACTAAAGGCGTGTCCCACCACGCCTGGCTTTAGACTGTGAGCTTGAGTCTTTAATGGCTAAGCCATCTCTCCAGCCCAATAATGCTCTTTTTTAAAAAAAAGATTAAAAAAAGGATTTTGTGTGTATGAGTGTTTTGCCTGAAAATATGTATATGTACTATGTACACACAGTGTCTGTCAAGGCCAGAAGAAGGCACCAGAAACCCTGGAACTGGAGTTATAGGCATTTGTGAATCAACATGTGGGTGATAGGAAAGGAACCTGGATCAGGATCATTTTAAAGAGCAACAAGTATTGATGGGTGTGTTGGCTCATGCCTTTAACCCCGGTCTCCAAAAAAAAAAAAAGAGTAACCAGTGAGTAGTGAGCCATCTCTCCAGCTCTGCTTTATTTTAAAAAAAATATGAACTAGTAGTCACTTGGTGATAACACATTAAAGACACCAATTTTTGTTTAAAAAGACTGCATTTGTTATAAGACATTTGTGCCTTTTAAAAATATTATTTTTGCCAGGCGTGGTGGCACACACCTTTAATCCCAGCACTTGGGAAGCAGAGGCAGACAGATCTCTGTGAGTTCAAGGCCAGCCTGGTCTACATAGTGAGTTCCAGGACAGCTGGGGCTATAAGGAGACCCTGTCTCAAAAAGACCAAAAAAAAAAATATTTTTTTTACTTTATGTGTAAAATGCCTACATGTAGGAAAGTGCACCCGTGTCATGCAGTGCTTGTGGAGGACAGAAAAGGTTGTCAATCCCTTGGAACTGAAGTTACAGACAGTTGTTAGCTGCCATGTGGGTGCTGGGATTTGAACTCAGGTCTTTTTGCAAGAACAGTCAGTGTTCTTAACCACTGAGCCATCTCTCCAGCCCCGACATTTGTGCTTTAAAAACATTTTTTTATTTAAAAATTCACTTAGCATATAAGGTATTAGATATCATCATGACATTTTCTTTTTATTTTTCTGGGTTTTTTTTGGGGGGGGGGTTCTTTTTAAACATATTTTCTTCTGTTAAATATTTTATTATTACTATTTTTAATGTTATTTATTTTTTTTTATGTGTGTGTATTGCCTGCACGGAAGTAAGTGCACCCGTGTCGTGCAATGACCCCAGAGGTCAGAAGAGGCTGTTGGATCCCCTGGGACTGGAGTTATAGACCGTTGTTAGCTGCCATGTGGGTGGTGAGATTCGAACCCAGGTATTCTGCAAGAACAACCAGTGTTCTTAACTGCTGAGCCATCTCTCCAGCCTGATATTTTCTTTCTTTAAACAAAGATTTATCTTATTTATGTGTTCACATGTGTGTCTATACATGGGTTTGTACACATGAGTGCAGATAGGTCAAAAGAGAGCACTGGATCCCTTGGAGGTGGAGTTACAGACTGTTATGAGGTGCCTGATATGGGGACTGGGAACCAAACTGGGGTCGTCTCCAAGAAGAGTAACCACTAAGCCACCTCTTCAGCCCCTCATTATGGTATTTTCAAACGAAGTGTATTTTAGTAGATTCTGTGTCCTCCTCATCCCACCTTCTGCTACCTTTGAATCCCTGCTGCAACCTCTCTCCCCAGTCTCTTTTCCTTTCATGTACCATGTTGTCCTTTGCCCACAATCTACCCTTCCTCATTATCTATTTTTTGGTTTTCTTTCTAGTTTTATACTCATTTCTATATACATGTACACATTACAGGCTAGGATCTGCATATGAGAACACTTGGTTTTTGTTTTTTTGAGTTTGGGTTGCCTCAGTATTATACTTTTCAGATTCATCCATGTGCTGGTTAGCTTTTGTCAACTTGACACAAACTCGAGATACCTGGAAAAAGGGACTCTCAATTGAGGAATTTTCTCCATGAAATCACCTGTAGGGTATTTTCTGGCCTGCTAATTAATATAGGAGGGCCTAGCCCACTGTGGGCAGTACCATCCCTAGGTAGGCACACCTGGGCTATGTAAGGAAGGTGGCTGAGAAAGCCAGAGGGAGCAAGCCAGTAAGCAGCTTTCCTCCATGGTCTTGTCTTCAGTTCTTGCCTCCAGGTTCACTGGCTTCCCTCGATGGTAGTTGGTACTGTAAACTAAAATAAACCCTTTCCTCCTTAAGTTGTTTTGGTCACGGTGTTTCTCACAGTAAACTAGGCTGGGCATGGTGGTGCATACCTTTAGTCCCAGCACTCGGGAGGCAGAGGGAGGAGGAGGAGCTCTGTGAATTCAAGGCCAGCCTGGTCTACGTAGTGAGTTCCAGGTCAGCTGGGGCTACAAAAAAAAAAAAAAAGCAAACTAGGACAATTCATTTTCCTACAAACTTCATAATTTTGTTTCTTTATAATGCTAAGGTTTAAACCCAGGCCTCTGAACATGCAAGGCAAGCAGCCCATCACTAAGCTATACCCTCAGATCCTGCTTATTTGTATTTTGACCTGCTCTGGACGCTTTTTGTCCTTTTCTCCTCTGGTCCTGGGAATTTCTATAGCAGGAGACTTAATCAAATGGTGAAAAAAAATAAAAACACAATGGTGGGTAAAAGTACCTGAATAACACTGAGCAATAGAACATGAAGCATGAAAGTAGCAAAGCCAATCTGAGTGTCATTTCTGTAAAGATAACCCAACCATCATTTCCAGCTAATAAAATAAAATGTAAAATTGTCTTTTTAAAGTTACCTTTGGGTTTGAAGGTGGGACAGGTCAATGGTAGTATCAGGGTAATCGAATGTATCTTCCTCTTCATCCTTCATTTCAACAATAAGCTCTTGATCTTTTGCAGCTTCTTCAGATTCTCCTTCATCTTCAGAGCTTTCTTCCTGAATTAATTCACTTAGTTCATCTCTACCACTCTGAAAAGCAATATCCTCTTGGTCAACCTGAGTCAAGAGTTCTACTTCTGCAGGAGTATTATGCAATTCCTCTTTATCTTCTTCACTGCTGGTATCACCTCCTTCTGTAGAATTTCCACAAGGAAAGTCAGTGTTCAGTCCCCAACAAAGCAATGTGATTCTCTTATTCCCAGTTTCCCCAAAGGATCACCAAAAATTTTCTGATCACCTCCACTATGTACTGGACTCTGACTCAGACAAAAGGATAATCTTCATCATGAATAGAGAGGATTACATGACTTCCCAGATCCTTTTACCACAAATTTTTGGACACTGCTTCTATTTCTTTAATGAACATGGTATTTACAAAATGGAAGACGAAACAAACAAACCCTAACTGTGTAAATTCTGTAGCTTTATTAATTTGTAAATGAAAACTAATACATGCTATATAACTGGGCTTACACTTTGGCAAAAAGAATATAATACTAATAATTGAGTCCAGTTGCCATCTGTATAGGATAGACATGAAAGTAGACCAAAAAATATATATAAAGCACTTTATAAAGGGCTGGGGACAGGGTGAACATCAATCAATAGAATCTATCAGCACAGTACTTTTAAATTAAACAATGGAACACTACTCCAAAAAGTGTGACCCAGCTGGGCATGGGGGCACACACTTTTAATCCCAGCACTTGGGAGGCAGAAACAGGTGGATTTCTGTGAAAGGGACAGTCTGGTCTACATAGTTGAGTTCCAAGCCAGCTGGGGCTACAGAAAAACCCTACCTCAAAAAACCAAACCATGCCGGGAGTGGTGGCACACGCCTTTAATCCCAGCACTTGGGAGGCAGAGCCAGGTGGATCTCTGTGAGTTCAAGGCCAGCCTGGTCTACATAGTGAGTTGAAGGACAGCTGGGGCTACAGAGAGACCTTGTCTCAAAAAGACCAAAAAGAAACCCCCCAAAACCAAACCAAACCATCCCCCACCCTGCCAACAAAAAGCCCACAAAACCAAAACCAAAAGGAGTGACCCTAGGAGAGAATAATTGCACAAGTAGTTCACAGGGAGCCTTCCTCCAAGTCCCTTAGATACAGAGGTAGGTAAATTTATTCCAGCAATTATAGTTTCTTTCTACTTGAAGCAAACGTATCATTAAAAAAAAATTCAACCAAAGCTGGTTATAGTGGCTTATATCTATAATATCAGTATTTGAAAAACTGAGGCATGAATACTGTTAAAAGTTCAAGGTCAGTTTGGGCTTGAATTAAAATTCTCATATGAGAAATTGTACTTCTTATAAATCCATCTTCCTACCATTTTTAACTCCTAATCCCAGATGCAAATGCTAATTAGTATGTACACAAGACTATCTGTTAGATACATTTATAAACCATCCATTAAATATTCAAAAAAATTTTTAATTGAATTTTTGTGTATTTCATACAGAAAATCATCTTTAATACCGCCTTCCTTCTTCCCCTTTTGCACCCTCCCATATCCCCCCTACTGGAGTTCATACATTCTGTCATTTGTGTTAAGGCCTATCATGTAAAGTTAGTGTCCTCAGATGTCAAAAAAATTTTTTTTAATTATCTTCTGAGACTAAAGGTGTGCACTACCATCCTGGCTTAAATGCTCAAATTCTACTCAACAAAGTATTTTAGTTATGGATCCAATTAAAATTTTGAATTCATTAGAATATTTTTAAATCCCCAAAATATTTTTTTAAAGAATAAGCCTATTTAGCATTTCCAGAAACAAAATTCAGTAAAACCGATAGCTAGTATTTTGAATTCTTTCTGAAATGCTGATTATCCTCAAAGAGACATGATCATCTAATGATTTAGAAGTAAAACTAGAGGCTGGAGAGATGCCTCAGCAGTTAAGAGCACTGGCTGCTCTTGTGGAGGATCCAGGTTCAATTCTCAGCACCCACATGGTGGCTAACAACCACCTATAACTCATTCCAGGGGAATGTGATGCCGTCTTCCAACCTGAGGGCACTGCATGGCATGGATGCACTTACATACATGCAGACAATACATTCACACACACAAAATTTAAAAATAACAATTTTTTAAAATAAAGAAGTAAAACTAGACAATGAAAGTCACAAGCCATAGCTGAATGTGATGGTACACTCCTATAATCCTAGCACACAGAAGGCAGGTGCAGGAGAAATGATGCAAGTTCAAGACCAGCCTGAGCCACATAACAAGTTCCAGGGAAGCCAGGAGTCCATTGTGACATCCTAGCTCAAGGGAAAGAACCCATGTGAAAAAACCCAGGTGTGGTGGCAAGCACTTGTAATCCAGTGATGATGAGGAGAACAGGCAGAACCCTGAGGCTTGCTAGCCAGTCAGTGTAGCCTAATCAGCAAGCCCCATGCCTGTGTGATACCCAGTGTCAAGAGAAAAGTAGATGGCACCTGAGGAGCAATGTGGGTTTGTCCCGTGGCCTCCATGTGCATGTGCACATGTGTCCTAACATACACATACACAAACACAACACACACACACACAAACACACAGAAATTATAAGCTAAGTTATTAAAATATATGAACTACCTAGCTGTTCCATTTCTTCTGATATGAGTTCACTTGTGCAACTTGCCAGTGTTTCCGAGTCTTCATCCTGTATTCTGACTTTTCGTTCACCTCGATGTCTCCAAATACAAGACTCATCTACCTACAGAAACAGTTCTTTTGTATTGGTGAAACTTTAGGCAAGATTTATGAAAATAAACCCCAAGAAAGTGAAGAGTACCTTAAAGAGGAAGCTAAACCCCATCATTAGATATGAAGGAGGAAGGAAATTCTTTTTTCCTACGAAAGATAATACAAATTAATATTGTAAAAAAAGTTTTCTCCTCTTGTTTTGATCTGAATATATCTGATACCAATGATTATATCCATCTTTACCTTATACTATGGCATGAACACTTACAAAATCTGGCATTATGTATAGGACTAGTAAGAAAAAGCATGCATACATGTATGTTCTCATCTTTGGGGTTAGTCAGAACCACAATGTATTTTTACAAATATAAAAAAAAATCAGAGCTGGGCATAGTGGTGCACATCGTTAATCTCAGCACTCAGGAAGCAGAGGCAGGCAGATATCTGCAAGACTGAGATCAGTCTGGTCTACATAGTGAATTGCAGGCTCACTAGGCCAGCTGTGTTGCCCCAAAAGAAAATAATTCTCATCAATAAGTATGAAGATGACTGGGGCTGGAGAGATGGCTCAGTGGTTTAGATCACTGGTTGCAGTTGCAGAGGACCCAGGTTTGGTTCCCGGCACCCACATGAGCTAACAACCATGTGTAACTCCAGTTCCAGAGGATCTGATGCCCTCTTCTGACCTCTTCAGGCATTTCATGACACAGATGCACTTACATACATGCAGGCAATATACTCACACACAGAAAATAAAATATTTTAGTATGAAGATGACATGACAAATGCTAAATTTGTCATGTCAAGGCAAAACTTCCTTTATTTTGTAACAAAATTCATATGTAAAATTAGAGAAATATATTTCTACTCAAAATATTTGTAAATGGTTCTTAAAACATACCTTCATAATCCAAGCTAGGGATATTTTTCATGTTAAGCCATTACCTCTTATCATGAAGCTTCCTGTTGTCAAATACTCTCCTGTTGGTGCTGTTTTAGACACCTAAGGAACACAATAATACATTATATTCTTATCTAAAGAATTTTGAGACAGTGTATCATGTATCACAGTCTGGCCTTGAATTTGCTATGTATCAGAGGATGACCTTGAATTTCTAATTCTTCCACCTCCTGAATGAAAGGATTACAATTATGCTTTACAATCCTTGGTTTATGTGGTACTGGGGACTGAACCCAGGATTTTGTGCATGCTAGGCAGGTACTCCACCAATGTAGCTGTATCTTCAGCTTAAGATATTCTAAAAAAGGGGCTGGAAAGATGGCTCAATGGTTAAGAGCACTGGCTATTCTTGCAGAAGACCCAGGTTTGAATCCCAGTACCCACGTGGTAGCAAACAACCATACATAACTCCAGTTCCAGAGGTTTCAATGCCCTCTTCTGTCTTCCTTGGGCACTGTACAACACAGGTGCACTTATGTGTATGCAGGAAATACATATGCATAAAATAAAATAAAATTTAAAAAAGATTCTTGGAAAAAAACCACCAACCAAAAACCAGTTTTTGCCACTCAAGAAGAGTAAGCAATCATATTCAAGTAAGTAACAATATGTCTTGAAAATAATATAACTTAGCAAAAATTCTCAACACTGAAGGCATAGATACATTCCTCCAATGACAGATATGCCTTTCACAAGAACAAAGGAAGAAATAACAGAAGATCTAAAATACCACAGACTATACTAGTAGTAGATCTTTCAGCATAAGACCTAATGAGAAAACAGTACATTTAATAAGCTCATCACAAAAACTTATTGAAAAGATAAAATAAGGCCTGGCATGGTGGCACATGCCTTTAGTCCCAGCACTCGGGGGGCAGAGGCTGGTGGATCTCTGTGAATTCAAGGTCAGTCTGGTCTACATAGTGAATTCCAGGTCAGCTGTCAATGTAGGTACTTTGTTGGCCTTAAAAATTAGGATGAAGGAGCTGGGCATGGTGGCGCATGCCTGTAGTCCCAGCACTTGGGAGGCAGAGGCAGGCAGATCTCTGTGAGTTCAAGACCAGCCTGGTCTACATAGTGAGTTCCAGGACAGATGGGGCTACAGGGAGACCTGCTTCAAAAAGACCAAAAAAAAAAAAAAAAAAAAAAAAATAGGATGAAGTATAGCTCTTAATAAATTAAGAAAACAGACCACAGCCCTTATTACCTGATGATGGTACACCCACCAAGCACTAGTGATAACTCGTGCATCCCAAGCAGCACTGTAGCAAAGTGCCATTGTGCCAGCCTCAGTCAATGTCCTTGGAGGGATGGGTTCTCCTATAACAACAAAGCTATGTTTCAATACCAAAGTATAGGCTTTCTGCAGAGCAAGGTGCCAAGTTACATATAACAGTTTCAATCCTCTTATATCTTAAATACTAATATCACATTTTTTAACACTATAAGTTATCTATCTTTGCAATGTAGGAACCAAAAGTTATCCTTTTTAACTTTTAAAAAAATATTTATTTGAACATGTGACTGAATGTAAGAAGACAAGTTGTGAAAGTCAGTTCTCTCCCTTCATTATGTGGGTCCTAGGGATTAAACTCAGGTGTTCGGGCTTGGCAGCAAGTGCTGAGTGAGCTCATTGGCCGAAGCTACTCTTAAAATGTATTTCCATTACATATTTCACAGATGAAATATCCTCTCTATTTTTTTAAAGATTCACTTTACTTTTAGTTATGTATTTGTGTGTCTGTGTGGGGGCACATGCCCTCAAGTGCAAGTGTCCACAGAGATAGAGGTATCGGAGTTACAACAACAAAACACACAAGAAAATAAAGACAAAAAAACCCTAGTGAGAACACATATAATTCAATGTAGTTATTTTTATTTTTTCTTTTCTTTCTCCAGGAGTACTGGGATTCAACATCGGGCATCACGTTCACCAGGCTACCCAAAAGCATACAGCCTGTTTTTAGTACAATGAGGAAGCAGTGTGACCATTACTATCATATGATTCTAAACATTTTTATCCCCACGCCCCACGCCCAGCAACCCTTCATCTGTTAATAGTTACTCCTCACATTTCCTTCCATACCCAACCACCAAGTTACTTTCTATCTCTATCTTGAAAACTTCAGGTAAATGGAATCACATATAGCCTTTGGCCTGGAACTTAAGGCAAGCTTCCTTCCTATGCTTCTGGGATTAAAGATGTGAGCTGTCACACCTGGCTTTCTTTCTTTCTTTCTTTAAAATATTTTATTTATTACTTTTATTGTATGTCTATGTTTGTATTGCCTGCATGTAGGTAAGTGAACCCATGTCATGCAATCCTGCAGAGGACAGAAGAGGCTGTTGGACTCCCTGGAACTGGAGTTACGGACAGCTGTTAGCTGCCATGTGGGTTACGGGATTCAAACCCAGGTCTTCTGCAAGAACAGCCAGTGTTCTTAACCATTGAGCCATCTCTCCAGCCCCACATCTGACTTTACTTCCTTTAATATTTTATAGTTTTTCATCTTATATATCTTAGCAAACTTATTATTAATTTTATGATATTAGGATATTAGGGATTCCAACCGGGGTTTCAGGTATGTTAGGAAAGCACTCTACTACTGATCCACAGCCTTTGCCCTGGCTGGCCTCAAACTTGCTAAGTAACTGAGGATGACCTTGAATTTCTGGTCCTCCTGGCTCTACTTCCTGAATGCTGGGATTACAACCATGCAACATTATGCCTGGTCTATGTGGGTCTAAGAATTGACCCCAGGGCTACATGCTTGCTAAGTAAGCATTCTACTAAGCATCCCCACCCCATTCCCTTATTATATTCTTTTTAATTCTATTAGTTTATTCATTGCTAGTACATAGAAATACAACTGATCTTTCTTTTATTTTTACTGGTTTTGTTTAAATACAGGGTCTCATGTAGCCCAGACTAGCCTGGAACTTGCTGTATAATCGAGAATGACCTGGAACATGTGATACTCTTGCTACTACCTCTGAATTTCTGGGATCATAGGTATGTGCCATTATGTCTGACTACACTTCTTTTTTAATGTGCATGAGTGTTTTGCAGCCTGTAAACACACCACATGCATACAATGTCCTCAGAGGCCAGAAGAGGGTGTTGGATCTCCTGGAACTGGAGTTGTGAATGGGTGCTGGGAATTAAACCTGGGTCCTCTTCAAGAGCAGCCAGTGTTCTTAACCACTGAGCCATCTCTCCAGCCCCTACACTTATTTTTGTATACTTATTTTGGACTGTGTAAACAATGCTGCTTTACTTATTATAAAAGTTCTGGTAATTTTCTTAGGATTACTAAACATATAAAAGCATAGTCTGTGTAAAAGATCATTTTACTTCTTCCTAGCCAATTTGGATATTTTAAATTTCTTTTTATTGTCAATGGATCTACATAGAACTTCTACCAAAATGTTCAATACAGGGACTAGAAAGATGGTTGAGCAGTTAAGAGCACTGGCTGCTCTTGCAGAGGACCTGGGTTCAGTTCCCAGCACCCACATGGTGGCTAATATCATCCTTAACTCCAGTTCCAAGGGATCTAACATCCTCTTCTGGCCTTAGTGGGCATCGCATGACATGGGTGCATGCAGGCAAAACACTCATATACATAAAATAAAAATAAATAAGGTAAAAAAAAACTTTGAATACAAGAGGAAAGCACATTCTTTTCTGAGGGCCAGGGAGGGGGGGAAGTCTTTTTGAGGCAGGGTCTCGCTGTAGCCCAGCTGGCCTGGAACTCATAGAGATTTGCCTGCCTCTGACTCCTGAGTGCTGGGATTAAAGGCATGTGCCACCATGCCGAGCTTTCCTCTTCTTGATTTTATTTTCTGTGTGTGTGTGTGTTTGATTTTAGAAGTAAAGTATCCAGTCTCATATGAAGATTGTTAGCTATGGGTTTTTCATAATGTTTTTTAGCAAGCTGAGGCAGTTCCATTGGATTCCTAGTTTGCTTAGTGTTTTTATCATGAATAGGTGCTAGATTTTGCCAAATGATTTGTAAGTTTTGAGACAAAAATCTCAATATGTAGCCCATTGTTGGCCTCAAATTGGAGAGCCTCCTGCCTCACTCTCCAGAGTGTTGCGATAATATGTATGTACTACCATATGCAGCTTACCAAATGGTTTCTCCGTCAATCAAATTCTCGGAATAAATCACATGGTGTAAAATCCTTTTAATATATTAACAGATACAAGCTGCTCATATTTTGCCAAGGATATCTGTTTTTTAATTTATTTTTTTATTTTATGTGTATGAGTGTACTGACTGCATGTATATAAGTGCACCCGTATTGTGCAATGCCCACAGAGGACAGAAGAGAGCATTGGATCTCCTGGAACTAGAGTTAAGAATGATTGTGAGCCGACACGTGGGTGCCAAGATTCAAACCTGGGTCCTCAGCAAGAAAAACCAGTGCTCTTAACTGCTGGCTGAGCCATCTCTCCAGCCTGTCTGTATCTATATTCTAAGTGATATAAGCCTGTACTTTTTCTAGTGATGTATTTGTCTGATTTTATTATTAGGATAATACTGGTTTGGTAGAATGAATTAAGAAGTATTCCTACCTGGGCATGGTGGCGCACGCCGGTAGTCCCAGCACTTGGGAGGCAGAGGCAGGAGGATCTCTGTGAGTTCAAGGCCAGCCTGGTCTACATAGTCAGTTCCAGGACAGCTGGGGCTACAGGGAGACCCTGCTTCAAAAAGACAAAAAAAAAAGAAAAAATAAGTATTCCTATCTTTCCTGTTTTTGGAAGAATTTCTGAAGCACTGGTATTTAACTTTCTTATTTTTAACTTTTTTGTTTGTTTTGTGAGACAGAGTCTTACTATGTAGCCCTGGCTGGCTAGAACTCAGAGATTCACTTGCCTCTGTCTCTGGAGTGCTGGGATTAAAGGTGTGTGCCACTACGCCCAGCTTTCTTTTTTAAAATACATTTTATTAATTTTATTTTATGTGTATGAGTGTATTGCCTGCATGTATGTGAGTGCACCCATACTGTGCAATGCCATGGAGGTCAGAAGAGGGTATCGGATTCCCCTGGGATTAGAGTTAAGGACAGTTCATAACTGCCATGTGGGTGCTGGGAATCGTCGAACCTGGATCCTCTGCAAGAGCAGTCAGTGCTCTTAACCGCTAAGCCATCTCTCCAGCCCCTAACTTTCTTTCTTTCTTTTTTTTTTTTTTTTTTGGTTTTTGGAACAGTCTGTTTTGAGACAGGATCTCCCAGTAGCCCTAGCTAGCCTAGAACTCCCTATGTAGACCAGGCTGGCCTTGAACTCACAGAGATCAGACTGCCTCTGCCTCCCGAGTGTTGGGATTAAAGACATGGGCCACCACTCCCAGCCCTTTGTGAAGTTTTTTATTAACTCTTTACTCACTATGGGTTTCTTTCAATTTTTTGCTTTCTAAAAAATTATTAATTTGGGGCTGGAGAGATGGATCAGCGGTTAAGAGCACTGACTGCTCTTGCAGAGGACCTGAGTTCGATTCCCAGCATCCACATGGCAGCTACGAACCATCCTTAACTCCAGCTCCAGGGGAATCCGAAGCCCTCTTCTGACCTCTGCAACATTGCATGACACAGGTGCACTCACATACATGCAGGCAACACACTCATAAACATAAAAAATAAAAACAATTTTAAAAAATTATTAATTTAGGCCGGGCATGGTGGCGCACACCTTTAATCCCAGCCAGCACTTGGGAGGCAGAGGCAGGCGGATCTCTGTGAGTTCAAGGCCAGTCTGGTCTACATAGCAAGTTCCAGGCCAGCTGGAGCTACAGAGAGACCCTGTCTCAAAAAGACAAAAAGACAAAAAAAAAAAAAATTTAATTAATTAATTAATTTTTGGTCTTTTTGAGACGGGGTCTCCCTGTAGCCCCAGCTGGCCTGGAACTTGCTATTGAGACCAGGCTAGCCTTGAACTCACAGAAATCCACCTGCCTCTGCCTCCCAAGTTCTGGGATTAATGGCATGTGCCACCATGCCCAGTAAAAAAATTATGTATTTTGTAGGTATGTATGCATTTATGTTGGCTCACACTTGCCACTGCACATATGGAAATCAGAGGAGAATTTTCAGGAGTTGGCTCTCTCCCACCAGCGGTAAAACTCAAGAACTCAGGTCCTTGGGCTTGGTGGCAAGCACCCTTTACCCCCTAAACCATCTCATCAGCCCCCATTTCTTCTTGAGTCAGTTTTGGTAGTTTATTTCAACAAATTTGTTCATTTCACTTAGGTTATATAATCTGTTATCATAATACTGTTCTTTAGTATTCTCTTAGACTCAGCCATGCCTGGTGCACGCCTTTAATCCCAGCACTCAGGATCTCTGTGAGTTCAAGGCCAGCCTGGTCTTCATAGTGAGTTCATAGTAAGTTCCAGGAAAGCTGGGGCTACAGGGAGACCATGTCTCAGACCGAAAAAAAAAAAAAAAGATTCAACTGTATTGATTTTTCTAAAGAACTTTTTTTCTCTATTGCTTTTTTCCTTCTTTTGTTTTTTTCTGGGACAGGGTCTCCCTCTGTAGCCCCAGCTGGCCTTGAAACTAACTACATAGACCAGGCTGGCCTTGAACTTACATGCCTTGTGAGTGCTGTGATTAAAGGTATTCTTTATTATTTCTGCCCTTCTCCTGGTTTTGGGTTTTTTGTTGTTGTCGTTTTTTTTTTTGTTGTTGTTATTATTCCAAAGAAAGGCAATTTTTAACACATTTTTCCAGAAATAACTTGAAGCAGGTTTTATATATACATACATACATGTATGTAAAATGAAGTTTAATGAAGTTTAAGGGGGTAAAAATACAAATAAGAAATCAAAGATCAAAAGATTTGCCAACATGGGGTCATCGGGTCAACTTTGGTGGAATATGAAGGTTTCCATTGGCTCTGTTCTTTTTTTTTAAATCCTAACGAGTTTATTGGGCTTACTAACAGAGCATAGGATGGGGGTTTATTTACAGAAGAGTGCCCCCAACCCTATTTATGGCTGGGCTGTAAAGTACACACACAAATATGGATCCTGTGACTTCCCAACAGTTGTATAAAATGGCAAGAGGTGCCTCATTGGCTTCTTTTTGGGTTTTTAAAATATAGCCATTATATCTATACATTCCTCTCTCAGCAATGTTTTAGCAGCATTTCAAGTTTCTTTGTTTTGAGATAAGTTCTAGGTAGCATAGGTAGGGCTTGAACTCTGAATCCTCCTGCCTTAGCCTTCCTAGTGTTAGGGTTAGGTATTTATTTTACTCATCTCAAAGTTGTGGTTTGTGTGTGTGTGGTATTTATTGTTTGAGACAGTTTCACTATGTAGCCCAGACTGGCTTAGAGCTCCAGATCCTCCTGCCTAGACCTCCTGAGTGCTGGCATTATGGGCCAGCATGTGTCTGGCTCTTTTTGGGTGGTGATGGGAATTAAACCCAGGGCCTCACTGATACTGGGAAAATACTTTACTAGTGAGCCATATTCTCAGCCTTTAGAGTATTTTCTCATACTCTTTTTAAGATTTCTTCCTTGACACATTGGTTATTTATGTGTGGCAGTCAAAACACAACTTTGTGGAGTTAGTTCTCTCCACCCACCTTTATGTGGGTTCTGGGGATTGAACTTAGGTTACCAGGTTCCCACAGCAAGGTACTTAACCCATTGTGCCATCTCCCAGGACCTACAATTAGCTTCTAATTTCATCCTATTATGCTCAGAAAAAGCTACTTTGTATGATTTCAACTGTCTTAAATTTGAGACTTTTTAAAAAATAAAATATCAAATGATCTACCTTAGACACACTATGTTCTGTGTGTACTTGTTTGGTGGAATGTAGAGATGTTGGTAAGTTTACTTATCAAGTTGTTCAGGTATTCTATTTCCTTATTGATCTACTGTCTAGTTACTCTATTCATGGCTAAAAGTTCAGTGTTGATATCTCCAAATATTACTGTAGACTTGTCTATTCTTCTCCTCAATAATGCCTGGTTTTACTTCATGTATTACAGGGTACAACTGCTGAATACCAAGTTTATGATTGGTATATCTACTTCTTGGAATGCTCTTGTATCATTACATCATCTTGTAACACATCCACCAATAATTAGATAGTTCTCTGAGCTAATGAACCACAGAACTTTCTCAAGCCTATCAAACTGAAAGAAACCGAAATTAGAGTTTTTTATACCTGCCTGAATTCTAATTTTTTTCATCTGCTTTTTTTCTGTTTGTTTGCAGTGACGGGGACTGCATATTAATTCTGGCTTTATTAGTTACATTAAGAATATTTTAAGGGGGCTGAAGAGATGACTCATCAATTAGAGCACATACTGCTTTTGCAGAGGACCCCAGGGCAGTTCCCAGCACTTATGTCAGATGGCCTACAACCACCTGTAACTCCAGTTTCAGGGGATCTGATACCCTATTCTAGTCTGCCCAGGCATCTGTACTCATGGGTGCACCTTCCCACATACAGACACACACGTACTTAACTAAAAAATAAAGATTTTTTTAAAAAATGTAAAAATCCAAATAAAAGAAATGCATTACCTGTTGGGTTTTTAATCACACAGCTGGTAGCTCCATGAAGATCAGCATGCACATAAATGTCTCCTTAAAGACAAATGAGCGATGACACTTTAAAGTTCTATTTCCTTTCTTTTGTTCAAACCCTGTCTCACTATACTACTCATGCTGTTCTGGAACTTGTGGGACTGAGTGGTCCTCTTGCCTTAGCCTTTCAAGAAGCTCAACCACAGGCACACACTATATACCCAGCTTTAAGCCCTATTTTTAAAATGGGAAATACGGTCACAAATGTTAGCACTGAAAAACTAAAAAGCCTTTAAAAATTTGACACACCATGACTTGGAGAACTGAAAACTACTTTATAAATAGTGGAGAAGAATAAAAGTCCAGTAATAGAGATTAGCTCAGCAATGTTATTTTAGCAACATCTACTTAAAATGAGAAATGGCAAAGCACTTCTTCAACGAAGTTTGAAAAATAAAACATCAAATCTTTCTACTAATTACTTCTGTTAAACAAGAGTAGAAGGTGAAAATCAGTATCTACTAGTAAGGTAACTGCTGAATCAGGCAAGAGAAATTTTACAGAATCCTAATTGTACCTGGTGTCAAGTATCTTTTCACAATCATCTCATTCTGCTGCTGATCTCGTCCACCTATAATTAGATAATTCTCAGAGCTAATGAACCACAGAAATTTTTCAAACCTATCAAATTGAAAGAAAACAATGTTAACATTTTCTTTATAGTTGCCTGAATTCATATATCTTAACAAACAAAACAGGAACCTATAATGCCTGTATAGGTTAAGATAACCTGATGGTACAATTAATTACTTTCAAAGGATCAAGCTAATTTTAGTAAAAACCTAAATATATTTTTACAACAGTTTTAGAAGACACTAAATTCTATGGTTTTTTTTTTTTTTTTTTTTTTTAATCTTTTTGAGACAGGGTCTCCCTGTAGCCCCAGCTGTCCTGGAACTCACTATATAGACCAGGCTGGCCTTTAACTCACAGAGATCCACCTGCCTCTGCTACCTGAGTGCTGGGATTAAAGGTGTGCACCACCACACCCAGCCCTAAATTCTGTTTTTTTTTAAAAGGTTACCTCACTAGGTATGGTGGCACAAGCCTATATTCCTAGTACTCCAAAGATGAGGAAGGAGAATCGAGTTGTTCAAGCCTAGCTTCAGCTACATACTGAGTTTAAAGGCCAGCCTACACTGTATTATCCTGTCTTAAAAACAACAACAAACCCCCACAAACCAAGTTATTTCATTTATTTTCTTTTTAATTTCAAATCATGTCTGTCTGTCTGTCTATCTGTGTGTCTGTGTGGGGGTTTTGTGCATGTTGAATGGAGGTGCCTAGAAAGGCCAGAGATATCAGATCTCTTGGAGCTGGAGTTACAGGTGGTTGTGAGCTGCTTGATGTAGTGGTAGGAACCAAACTTGTGTCCTCTACAAAGGCAGCACATGCTCTGAACCACTGAGGCATCCCTCCAGCCCTAAAAGTTTTTTAAAACAAACAAAAGGTGAACAAGGAAGGAAAATAGACTACTACTTGGCTCACCTGTGATTACAATTTAAATATTCATAAAAATGTTAGAATTGGAACTAGAGAGATGGCTCAGTGATTAAAAGCACTGACTACTCCTTGCAGAGAACCAGGTTCTACTCCCAACACCCATATGTCAGCTAACAACTGTCTGTAACTCCAGTTCCAGGGGATCCAATGCCTCTTTTGGCATCTGTGTCCTTTGCACAACATAGGTGCACTTATATACATGCAGGCAAAACACCCATACACATTAAAATAAAAAAAAACACGAAATTGCTTCAACTGTATATGTAACAGAGCATGAGTGGCAAGAAAGTGAAATCCTCATCCTCTGTAGTGAGAAGTCAATAGCAGACTGCAAACAAAATCGTGAAGCATATTACAAAGAAAAAGGAGACTATCAAAAGAGTAAAAGAACTAAAAGTAGTTTCCTTGGAAGAGCACACAACTGGATAAGGGGGAAGAACTGCAAGACTACTTGTTTTATAACAAGCTATGTGTAACTAGATGACTTTCTAAATAATATGCATATATAATTTCAATAAAAACAAAAACTAGGTATAAAAAAAAGCACTTACCAATATACTTTTCTTGCTTTTTGAATAGAGGTAACTGTTTGTACTTCTTTTAAGGTTTGCTTTGTTTTCTTTTCTGCTGACTTAAATGCCTATTTATAAAAAGAATTTAAAAATAAATAACACTGAAGTAAACAATGAGACAAGAAAATTGTTCTGGCTGGGCGTGGTGGTGCACACGGTTAATCCCAGCACTTGAGAGGCAGAGGCAGGCGAATCTCTGTGAGTTCAAGGCCAGCCTGGTCTCCTTAGTGAGTTCCAGGCCAGCTGGGGCTACAGGGAGACCCTGCCTCAAAAAAGACAGAAAAAAAAAAAAGAAAAGAAAAAACTGTTCTGATACAGGGTTTCACTTTATAGCCCAGACTGGCCTTGAACTCACTATGTAGTCAGTCTAGCTGGCCTAGAACTCACAGAGATCCTCCTGCCTCAGCTTCCTGGATTACAAGCACATGTTACCACACCTAGCTTAATGAATAGTTTCCAGGGGCATGTGAGATGGTTTAGTGGATAAAGATGCCTGCCACAAAGCCTGATCTTAACCTGAGTTTAACCTCTGGAACCTGCAAGATGGAAGGAAAGAAGCAACTCCTACAAGATGTTCTCTGACCTCTTTATGTGTGTCATGGTGCACACACACACACACACACACACACACACACACACACACACTTTATAATGGAGGGGCTGGAGAAATGGCTCAGTGGTTAAGAGCACTGGCTGTTCTTCCAGAGAACTTAAGTTTGGTTCCTAGCACCCACATGGTAGCTAACAACCATCAGTAACTCGAATTCTAGAGGATTCTGATGCCTTCTTCTGGCCTCCACATGCACTGCATGCACATGGTATAGACATGCAGGCAAAACATCCATACACATAAAATATTTTTAAATGGAAAAAAAGGAAGGTTTTATGATATCACAAAATGACTTGCTCTACACATACAAATATATGTATAGTAATGAATAAAAGATATTTGCCTTAGCCCAGAATGGTGGCATATGCCTTTAATCCCTGCATTGAGGGAGAGGCAGGTGGATCTCTGTGAGTTCAAGCCCAGCCTGGTCTACATAGTGAATTCCAGGCTAGCTGGGGCTACAGGGAACCCCTGTCTCATTTGTTTAAGACCTACAAATTAAGGGCTGGAGAGATGGCTCAGCAGTTAAGAACATTGGCTGTTCTTTCAGAAGACCAGGGTTTGAATTCCAGCACCCACATGGCAGCTAACAACTGTCCGTAACTCCAGTCCCAGGGCATCCAAAAAACAGCCCCTTCTGACCTCTGCAGGCATTACACGACACAGGTGCACTTACCTATATGCAGGCAATACACGCATACACATAAAATAAAAATAATAAATATTGAAAAAAAAAAAAACCCTACAAATTAGGGACTTGAGAGATGACTCAGAGATTAAGAGCACTGGTTACTCTTGCAAAGGACCTGGGTTCAGTTCCCAGTACCCACATCGTGACTAACAACCATTCATAATTGCAGTCTAGGGGGTCTCTTCTGGCCTCCACAGGCACTGCACAATAGGAGTATATTTACATGCATAGAGACAAAGCATTCATACACAGAAAAAAATACATGTAAAAAAAAATTTTTTTTTTGTTTGAGACTTGGTCTCCCTGTAGCCCCAGCTAGCTGGTCTGAACAAAACAAAAGAATGCTAGTTCTCAAAAGAATTTCCTGACAGATTTGAGTATGGTTAATGAGAAAAGGGTTCTGGATATCTCAAACATCTGAGGAAACAAGAGGAAAGTGCTATTTGCTGAGATAACCAAAAAGGAGGGAGGTGAAGGTTTAGGGACAAAAACAAATTCTGGAAATATACATGTTTAAAGCCAAATTAAATTTGAAAACTATTTCTGATTTCAAAACCTCATTTAAACAGAATAAGTACAGAATAAGTAGACAGGAGGGAGGTGCAGGTTTAGGGACAAAAACAAATTCTGGAAATACACATGTTTAAAGCCAAATTAAATTTGAAAGCTATTTCTGATTTCAAAACCTCATTTAAACAGAGTAAGTACAGAATAAGTAGACAGGCATGGTGGTGCAGGCCTTTAATCACAGCACTCTGGAGGCAGAGGCAGGCTGATCTCTGAGAGTTTGAGACCAGCCCGGTCTACAAAGCGAGTTCCAGTTCAGCTGTGGTTACAGGGAAACCCCATCTCAAAAAGACCCCGCCCCAAATAAGTAAAAAGGTATAATAAAAATGATAAAAATAATTAATGCTGTCCCCAAACAATGAATATCATTCTATTAAGTTACCTTCTCAGCAGCTTCAACAGTCTTCTGTGTTTTTTTAGCAGCATATCTCTTGTGATCGTAATACCTAGAAAAATTAATCTCTCTTAAATAGTAAGTAAAATCTTTGCTTAGTTTTTAGATTTAATTTTATAGTCCCAGCTCAAGCAGAACAAAGTTGTAGAGCACTGAAAATAACAAAACTAGCTGGGCATTGGGGCACACGCCTTTAATTCCAGCATTTGGGAGGCAGAGGCAGGCAGAGCTCTGTGAGTTCAAGGCCAGTCTGCCCTACATAGTGAGTTCCAGGACAGCTGGGGCTACAGGGAGACCCTGTATCTAAGACCAAAAAAAAAAAAAAAAAAAGAAGAAAGAAAGAAAATAACAAAACTAAACCAATAACTTTTCATCAAAAGAAGTATATACAGGTATTGAAAAGCAATGTCCTCCAAATTAAAGCACTCCTCTAAGAGGGAAAGGGGGAGGCTAATCACACTCAGGAAGTAAACAATCTTAATACTCTGGGAAAATCTGAAAGTTGCAGGATTCATTCAGACCCTACTTCAGCTCTAGAAACAGTAAACAACTGCTGGAGGAAGAGACTGCTCAGTTGAGCTGGCAAGAAATCTGGACCTGTTGAGCTGCCTCCAAGTCATGCAGAGAACTCCAGGGCTGCAACATTCCTAAGTATCCCAGTGCTCAAGTGGGCTTTTCAGCGATGCAGCTACTTTTGTGTGATCCCTGCTCCTGTAAGTAATCCCTCATCCACAGTCCTGTTAGTAACCTCAATAAAAACTGTAGTTCACCAAGTTAGACTTTAGTTCAATTGTTACTTCAATCTGTTGTGGGCTCCCTTTCTGGGAGAAGTATGTGCATGCCTGTATGTGTGTGTGTGTGAGAGGGGGCTGCATGTGTGTTGCATCTCCCTAAGAAAAGTATCTCACACAACAGATAAAATAATAATTTTTCTTAACATTCTATGACTGACTTACTGCAGATAACTTCCCAAGAATTTATGGTTAAGTGACTTACTTTTTGGCATTGGCATAGGCAGACAGACTGAGATCCACATCAACAAGCAATGGCTTGTTTTTCTGAGGCTTCTGCAACTGTCTGTTCTTTTGCTTTTTCTTTTTTCCTTTTGGTAGCTCAGTTTCATTTTTCTCAACATTGACATCACCATCAACATCATCATCTTCCTCCTCTGATAACAAGTATGGATTTCTATTAAAAATATTCAATAGTATTTCACTAATGTCAATGATATCACTTTTAATTTAAATTTTTTCCTCAGTAAATGATTTCCTATGTAAATAATTTTTCTATTTCTGAGAATTCCCAAACACAGAAGAAATTTAAAATGAATACAGTGAAGGATTAACAAAATAAGAACAAGCACTAACTGCTTAACTAAGAGTCAAGCTTACCTTAGGAGCATTGTAACATGATTTGTGTGCAGTTTTAATTCTTTGATTGCATTTGCAACAGGGTCTCCTTGAGCTTGAGCTTCTTTCACAATGACTCCAATTTCTGTCCAGTCTATCTGGTTAGCTAAAGCACTTCGAACTACCTGAATGGCTCTGTCAACTATCTGCAGGTTCATTTCTATGAGCTCTCCTTTCAGTTTGTCTATTTCCTTAGGAAACAAACCAAAAACATTTACTATAGTGCCAGCTCAGATTACCACATTTGAAAAAGAATCTGAAAAAGCTAAATATAATACCTGAGCCTGCTGAAGAGCTTCTAACCTGTGTTCATGATCCTTTCGGACATTATCTAATTTCTTCAGTGCTTGCTTTTCCTTTCAATGACAAAACAGATTTTTCAAAAATTACATTTCTTCCAACTCATAGCACTTCCCTTCTCTTAACTGCTAAGCCATCTCTCCAGCTTAGGGAAAAGCAAAATTTTTTTTTTTTTTTTTTTTTTGTCTTTTTTTGAGACAGGGTCTCCTTGTAGCCCTCACTGTCCTGGAACTCACCATGTAGACCAGGCTGGCCTCGAACTCACAAAGATCCGCCTGCCTCTGCCTCCCAAGTGCTGGGATTAAAGGCATGTGCCACCATGCCCGGCCCAAAAAAATTTTTTTTAAAGAGTTAATACTTTCTCTTAACTCTTAAAATGAACTGCCCTGATTTTGTTCTACCCTGTCAATGTCATCTAGCCAGCTAAGTAAGTTCCCCTGTAGTTCACTCTCTCAAGCCCAACCCTCTAGAAACATCATGCTCTAAAATCATCTCTCACCTACCTACCTCCCATTCCCTGTATAGAAGGTATGTTTTAGTTATAGGTCAAATTATATATAAGGTACGACTCTAATTCCCTTGGCATATAAGTGTTTTATTCTTTCTTATGTGGCACCAGGAATCAAAACCAGGGCCTCATGCATACAAAGTACTCTTATCACTCAGTTACATCCCTGGTCCCAAATAAAAATCTTTAAAAACTTTTAAAAACTTTACGTGTCTATATGTATATCTGTGTGTGGGAATGTGTGGGAATGTACACGTGAGTGCAGGTGTCCACGAGGGTCAGAAAGTGGCACTGAATCCCCTGGAGCTAGGGTCAGAAAGTGGCACTGAATCCCCTGGAGCTAGAGTTACAGATGGTTTTGAGCTGCCCAGTGGGGGCGCTAGGAACTGAGGTCCTCTGTAAGAATAGTATGCACTAAATCATCTCTTCAGCACCCCACCTAAAAAAATTCTTAAAAAGTCCAAATTAGGCCAGGTGTGGTAGCATAAGCCTTTAGTTACAAGCACTCAGGAGGCAGAGGCAGGTGGATCTACACAGAGAATTCCATGCCAGCTAAGGCTAAAGGGAGACCCTGTCTCTACGCTCCCTCCCCACAAAAAGCACAGATTATTTTATTAATAATTTTAGTTTTCTCAGCATTATATTCCAGTACTTTTCAGAACACTTTTCCTCCTGAATAACAATATAAGATTCAGTATTGTTATTTGACTTCCTGTATAGCATTTTATCAGACATAATTTATATTTCAGAGTGTTTTGTTTAGCTGGGTTTTTTCTTTTTAAGATGGGGTCCCATGTAGCCCAGGCTGGACTCAAACTCACTAGCTGAAAATGACCCAATTCCTGTTCTTCCTGCCTCTATCTCTCATGTGCTGGATTGCAGGTATGTGCTGGTTTACAAGTATGTGCAACCACACATGACTTTTGACATTTTAAATTTTGGGGCCTTTGTTTTTGAGATATGGTCTCCTCATAGCCCCAGCTGGCCTGGAACTCACTATGGAGACCAGGCTAGATCTCACAGAGATCTGCTTGTCTCTTTCTCTCAAGTACTAGAATTAAAGGCGGGTGCTACCATGCCCAGCTTACATTTAAAATTTTTGTTACATTTTAAATTTACTGATTTGGGGACAATTCCATCTGCCTCTGCCTCCCGAGTACTGGGATTAAAGGCATATACCATTAAAGGCATATACCCAGCCCTGAGGACATATTTTTAAATCATAGTTATAGCACCATCAATTAATGAATATTTAAGAGATGAAATAACTAAAAGATTGAAATTATAAGAATGGTGACTATTTAAAGAACTCACAATGGCTACCAAAAAAAAAGTTACTGATGTAGTCTGAGTATCCCTTATCCTAAGTGCTTGATGTGCAGAAGTATTTCAGATTGTGGGTTTTCTTTTTGGGGGATGTGGGGGTAATTTGTATAGACATTACTAGTAGAGCACTCCTATTCGGAAAATCTGAAACTTTTTGAGCACCACTAGTATTCAGATGCACATGAAAATACGAGCCAAAGTGTTGCCATCATGTGGTAATCACATGATATACTTCATTCAGTTGATAGGAAACTGCCACTATTCACTATTTTAAGACCCAGAGAAACATGCACAAAGATCCACATAACTTGAAATTTTCATACTCTGCTAATATTTCTGAAAAATCAAGTCTCTTCCAAATTAAGAATGACTCTGATCAGTTTATGAAACTGATCTGCAGCACATGCTCTAAGAATATGGTCAGATGTGCTGCAAAAATAATGCATGTAAAATCCTCCTTGTAGAGTCATGATACACAGGGAAAAGATAAAGACCTGGTTTTAAACCAGCTTAAGGAAACAGCACAAAGTTTATGAAAAATAAACTTATTTGTAAAGAAAATACACTTCCTTCTCTGGCCCATATAAATTCTTCCTCAGAACACAACTCTCATAATACCAAAGTTTGAGAAGTTTTGGGTTGCTTTAACTGAATCATACAACAGGTCTAATATGCCCACTAAATTAATTCTTTTAGAAAATAGCTGAAAAGGAAATTAATGGAATAAATAAGGGCATACTTTCTCACAATGGATTCCTCTGAACTTTAATCCACACAACTTCCCAAATTTCTTCTTAAAGGTGACTTCTTAAATGAAAGCATAATCCACCCACCCACCAAACCTTATTCTATCACTAGTTGGTCTAATAGAAATGTTTTAAATAATACTATACCTGTTGCAAAGCTTTTAAATCAATTTTTTTTCCTTCTATCTTCGAAAAAAATTCTTCCCCAGCCTTATTAAAAAAAAAAAAAAAAAACAACTGGCTGTAAAGAAAAAAAGTATCATCTCTACTTCAACCTGCATACACAGAATTTAGTCTATTAAACATAATGCCCCTTAATGAACCTGATCAGATTTCTAATGGATCTATTACATAGGTAAACATATCAGCCAGGCGTGGCCGGGCAAGCCTTTAGCTCCAGCACTCGGGAGGGAGGCAGAGACATCTCTGTGAGATGGAGGCCAATCTGTCTACATAGTGAGTGCCAGACCAGCTGGGAGCTACTGGGAGACCCTGACTCAAAAAGACCAAAAGAAACAAAAACAAAAACAAAACAAAACCAGAATCAAGAATGAAACCAAATCTTTGATACTTTAAATTCAAATAAAAATAGCAACAGGGGTTGGAGAAATGGCTCAGCAGTTTAGAGCACTTACTGCTCCTCCAGAAGAGGACCTAGGTTCTGTTCCCAGCACCCACATGGATGCTAAAATGGGACCTTAATTATAATTCCACTGGATCTGACACCCTCTTTTGGCCTTTGTGGACACCAGGCACACATGTTTACATACACATAGGCAAAACACTCATACACATGAAATAAAAATAAAATCTTTTTTTAAATGGCAACAATTGTTTCTAATAGCTGTAATCTATAACTTTATAGATTTTTTTTTTTTTTCTGTCTTTTTGAGACAGGGTCTGTGAACCACCACACCCAGCAGCAACTGCATTTTCTGAGTCTCTCTGGTGGTGCTAGAGATTAAATACAAGGCTTTGAACATGCACTCACAGTAGGTTACATCCCCAGCAGCACGGTGGTATAATTCTTACAATTCATATCATGCTAACTGGTCAAAAAGCAGAAGTAGAAAACCCACCTTGTCAAATGATTCAAATTCTATATGTGGACATTGTGAATGTTGAGAAAACAAGAAAGGATGAAATTCCTCATACCTGTAAAACATGTTTATTACATCATATTCAATAATATTAATTTAACATATAAAGTATGTAGGCCCATGCCTACATACTTACGTGAGTATATTTTCAACTGGTTTGTCTGCATCCAGGCTTGGTTTTACTTCTCTTTTCTGAATTATATATCCCTACCAAAAAAATAAAAAATCTAATATTAGACTCATTTGTATTCACAATGAACAAAGTCAATACAATTGACTTTTTATGACTGATACTAAATTTTTCTAATTAAAAAGATACACTTAGCCGGGCGTGGTGGCGCACGCCTTTAATCCCAGCACTGGGAGGCAGAGGCAGGCGGATCTGAGTTCAAGGCCAGCCTGGTCTACATAGTGAGTTCCAGGACAGCTGGGGCTACAGGGAGATCCTGTCTCAAAAAAGACCAAAAAAAAAAAAAAAAGATACACTTTAAGTACTGAAGACAAATATTAAGGTAAAAGGTATTTTTTTAATGTTTCACTATGAGGAGGTTATAAATTACTAAATTTTGTTTTTCAAGTGCTGACAAATTAAAACACAGTTCTCTAAATTTCTCTTCTAGAGGACCAGAGTTCAGTTCCTGGCACTCACATCAGGCAGTTCACAACCACCTGTAATCCAGTTTCAAAAGGCTTCTTCTGGCCTCTGAGGGTACCCACACATGTGGAAAATGGATAAATACATTCACTAAATAAGAATAAAAGTAAATATTTTTTTTAAAATAAATTCCTGAACTACTTTTTTTTTTTTTGAGACAGGGTCTCTTGTAACTCATACTGGCCTTAAATCTGCTATGAAGAGAAGTATGACCTTGAACTTCAGATCCTCTTGCCTCCACCTCCCAAGTACTGAGATTATAGTTATGCACTCACCATGGGTCCTTATGCAGCACTGGGTATTAAACCCAGAGCCTAGTGCTTACTAGGCAAGCACTCTACCAATGGAGATTATCTCCAGCCCCAACACAGTATTTTCTAGAAAAAATAAAGAATAGAATAAAACCTAGAAGCAACAATACAAAAGCAAAAAGAGCACACCTTTAATCCCAGCACTCAGGAGGAAGAGGCAGGCCAATCACTGTGAGATGAATGACAGCCTGGTCTACATAGTGAGCTCTAGGCCAGCTAGGGAGACCCTGTCTCAACACCCACTCCCCCCAAAAGACTACCCTGGAGCAAGGAGTACAGGTGAATAGTAGTACAGTGTATACTCAGCATACCGGGTTCAATCCTTAGCACAAGAAAAACAAAACACCACAAACCCTCATCTTGTAATAAGCATATTACAGACAACAAGTTTCTAAGTTAGAACAATAGATATACATTGATCCTTTAATAGAAATTTTATTTCTGAAAATTCAAATAAAACCAAAATAATAAATGAAGGCTGGCAAGATGGCTCAGCGAGCAAAAACACTGGCCACCAAGCCTGGCAACCTGGAGTTCGAGCCTCAGGATCAATAGAGGGAAGGAGTCAACTCCTACAGGTTGTCCTTAACCTCAATACACAGGCTGTGGCACCGCCCCTCCCCCAACTTCCACAAAATAAACAGATACACGTAAAACAATATACAGCAAGTATACATGGTGTTGCTACCTTTCCATTGAAGCTGGATACTTTTTTCATATAGTCTTCTGCCTTCTGCAGACAAACCAGTATCTTTTCAATATCTGGGGAAATAAAATTTAAAAAAATGAAAGAAAGAAAGAAAGCCAATCAATTACTGATTAACCAGTATTAAATAAATATATACAAATATTTATGTATATAAAATGGAAAAATAGTTGAGTGTAGTGTGGCAGTACATGCCTGTAATCCCAAAAGGAAGCTGAGGCAGGACAATCATGGAGTTTAAGGCCAGTCGGGGCTGTACAGCGAGATCCTACCTCAAAAAAACAAAAACAAAAACAGGAATGAATGAGATGGCTCAGTGGGTAAAGGTATTTGCTGTTAGGTCTCCAGGACTACATGTTCAGAGAGGGAACTGACTCCCGAAAATTGTCCTCTGAACACATATACACACACACACACAAAATGGAATTAAAAGCCAGGCGTGGTGGCACATGCCTTTAGTCCCAGCACTTGGGAAGCAGAGGCAGGTGGATCTTTGTGAGTTCAAGGCCAGCCTGGTCTACATAGTGAGTTCAGGTCAGCTGGGACTACAGGGACACCCTGTCTCAAAAAAACAAAAAAAAAATGTAATTTAAAAAAAAAAAAAAAGGCCAGTGAGGTGGCTCAGTGGGTAAAGGTAACTGCTGCATAGGCCTGGAGACGTGAGTTCGATCCCTGGAACCACATAAAGGTGAGAGAGAGAACTAACACCACAAAGTTGGCTTCAGACCTCTACACACATGCTGTGGCATGTGGCCCTACCTCCCCAACATAGATCATGCATTAATACACACATTAATAAATTTAAAAAAAATTAAATTCACCAGGCATAGTAGCATACGCCTTTAATCCTAGCATTCAGGAGGCAGAGGCAAGTGGATTTCTGTAAGATTGAGGCCAGTCTGGTCTACATAGTGAGTTCCAGGTCAGCTGGTGCTACAGGGAGACCCTGTCTCAAAAAGACAAAAAAAAAAAAAAAAAAAAAAAAAAGTAAATAAATTTATAGCAACTGGGAAAGTATCTATGAAAGAATTTAAATGCTCAAGAATATCAGATATATGGCTCAGCAGTTAAGAGCACATACTGCTCTTCCAGAGAAGACAAGTTCCAATTCCTAGCAACCACATGAGGCAGCTCACAACGCTAGTAACTTCAGCTTCTGGGGGATCCAATGCTTCTGGCCTCCAAGGCCACCTGCACTCAAGTGTAGACACACACACACATACACATTAATTAAAAATAAATATGAAAATCAAGCATGGTGGTGCATGCCTTTAATCCTAGCACTCGGGAGGCAGAGGCAGGCAGATCTCTGTGAGTTCAAGGCCAGCCTGGTCTACATAGTGAGTTCCAGGACAGCTGAGGCTACAGGGAGGCCCTGTCTCAAAAAGAAATCTTTAAAAAAGAAAGAAAAAAAAACTTTAGATATAGTTATTTCATTTTTGTAATTGGTGTATGAACATAAGATGATGTTTTAGGCTGGAGAGATAGCTCAGCGGTTAAGAGTACTGGCTGCTCTTGCAGAGGACCCAGGTTCAATTCCCAGCTAAAAACCATCTGTAACTCCAGTTCCAGGGGAATTCAATGCCCTCTTCTGGCCTCCGTGAGCATTGCATGACACCGGTACACTTATATACAAGAGGACAATACACTCATACACATAAAATAATTTTTAAAAAATGTTTTAGTCAGTCTATTGACGGAATCATCCATCTTTCCTCCAAATCTAAAATGTACTTTATTCATAAATTTAATTTCCATTTATACTAGGTCCTATTTCTCAGTTCTTTATTTTGTCTACTGCTTCTGCAAAAACTTACCATTAATTACTATAGTCCCATGATACCATTTTACCTGTGAAAAGGTTTACAGATCAAGTAACCAGAGTTGCCCTGAACATTCTCACATGCTTTTGTTCCACCTATCAGACTCATTTTAGAAAAACTGAGAAAAATACCACCACCATCTCGTCATTGGAGACGGGGCTGGATACATGGCATCAGTATATTTCAAAAAATAAAATATTTGATTTGCACTTATTTTTTTGATCTTTTTTTTTTGAGACAGGGTCTCCCTATAGCCACAGCTGGCCTGGATTTGCTATGGAGATCAGCCTGCCTCCCAAGTGCTGGGATTAAAGGCATGCACCATCACACCCAGCTTTGATTTGCATTTTTTTTTTTTTCTGTCTTTTTGAAGCAGGGTCTCCCTGAAGCCCCAGCTGTCCTGGAACTCACTATGTAGACCAGGCTGGCCTTGAACTCAGAAGAGATCTACCTGCCTCTGCCTCCCAAGTGCTGGTACTACAGGTGAGCACCACCACGCCCAGATGGATTTGCATTTTTAAACAAGCACATATACACAAAATTTCATTTATAAAATGAAAATTATCTCTATGCTTTAAGAAATAATGCATAGCCGGGTATGGTGACACACCTTTAAACCCAGCACTCAAGAGGCAAGAGGTAGGGGGGGCCAGCTTGGTCTACACAGTGAATTCCAGGCCAGATGAAACTACAAGGAGACCCTAACTCCAAAAAAAGAGCAAAACAACAATAACAAAAAACTAAATTGTACATTACTAGGGATAAATGTCCACACTAGCGGAGGAAGCTAGGAAATCTTGCAGGTGTAGGCTACCCTGATCAATTTCTGTTTAACTTTTTTTTGTTTTTTTGAGATTGGGCCTTACTGTGGAGCCCAGGCTGTCCTCAAACTCACCAAGATTCTCTCTAGTTCTAGGATTATAGATATGACCCACCATGCCCAGCTTCATATCAAATAATAATAAAAAAAAACCACCTCCCATTATTTATCTTTATGTATTTACATATTTATTTCTGTGTGGGGCTCTGTTCTCTGCTTTCACCATGTGGGTCCTGGGGATTAAATGTATGGTTGTATACTTTATAACAGAATATCAGAAATAATTTTTTAAAAAAATTTTTATTTATTATTTTTATTTTATGTGTGTGCATATATTGTCTGCATGTAGGTAAGTGCACCTGTGTCGTCCAATGCCCATGGAGGACAGAAGAGGCTTTCGGATCCCCTGGAATTGGAATTATGGACAGTTGTTAGCTGCCATGTGGGTGCTGGGATTTGAACCAGAGTCTTCTGAAAGAACAATCAGTGTTCTTAAAAGCTGAGCTATCTCTCCAGCCCCTTAGTATCTCTTCTTTGAACAGACTGTCTCTCTTCAAAAATCTTACTCCAGCAGAGCTGAGTTCAAGTAGAAAAACCCACCTCACAGTTAAGCAATAACTGTTATTTGTGTGGCCAGAGCTCTTGAAAAGCATGTTTCAAAATACTATTGGGAAAAGCATCTTTCTGCTTTGAGGACATCACGTTGATAGGATATGTATGGGGAGTGTGCTGGGAACAGGTAACTGAAAGTAAGGGGATAATCTCAGTAACGACCTGAGACCCTTGGTAGAGCTCTATTTGAAACTGCTTCCTCTGCCTTGCCCAAGAGTTTCCCAATATATTTTCATCTTTCATTCATATGTGTTTTTATAGCTTTTCTCTAAAAAGTATTTTGACTAATTTAGTTAGGGGAAAACTAAGCTAATTTAGATTTTAATTATTTCCTAGTATTCAAGAAAAGGGGGGCTGGGGAGTAAGATAAGCTAAAATCTAGAATTAAGGCATTTTCTTCATTCAGTTCTCATATGTCAATAAATTTGTTATTAAATAAATGTATTAAGGGCATTTTTAACAGTTGAGATTACACACACGCACACACGCACACACACAGAAAAACATATGTATGTATATTGACCTTGACAAATATTTTAAGTGGAAAGGAAGATGATAGAAATGCTAATTCATGTATTATATATTTTCTTTGTTTGGCAAGATATGAAGTAGGGAAAATAG